TGATACGGTTTACCAGGGTAGAACCTGGTAAAATGTGCATCATTAAGCCAGCCACCATGTGGCCGATTAAAGAGTCCTTTAGGAAAATACCTGCCTTGGAAGCATCTCAGCTAAGGGCATGACATCTGAGGTATTTATACCCCCATCTCTGATAGCCATTGTTAGCTGATGGCCCAGGGCGTGTTAAATCCTAAGCATTTTGGGGCCACCATGCTCGTGGGCTAAGTGGGTTCTGACAGCCCAGGAGTAGCCCTCCACAGATGCAGGTGTGACTGTTGAAGACAGGAGTCAGAGTGGTGTGCATAGAAATGGTTGGGGATTCTAGGGACATGAGTGGGACGCCGATAGAGTCTGCTTTAGGTAGAGTTCTTACCCCAAGCTGCTGTCCCACTGAATCCTGTTTTCTTTGTTTGTTTGTTTGTTTGTTTGTTTGTTTGTTTGTTTGTTTCCTGGCTGTATCCACAGACTCTGCTATGGATCACCCCCACCCGCCTGGCCTCTGGGTGTGTCCATGCAGCTCACAGTGTCTCACTGTCACCTTCATGTTGCCTGGTGATGTCCTCTCGGTCTCGTTTGATTGACATCTGCTCCAATAGGGCCAATTAGATTCTCTTGTTAGGAAGTTGGAACTGGGAGATGCCTGGGCACAGCCTGAGCTGGTTCCTGAAACAAGGGAGAGGTGACTCCCCATGCTTGTGGGATGGCCATGTCCACAGGGTATAATAGGTGAGGCCTGGCTGCAGAAGGAGAAGGAAGGGACCCCTATACGGAGAGGGGAAAAATACACAGGAAGTACTTGCAGGATGCCTGACTCCCTTCCAGGACCAATTCTAGTTCTTTGAGGGTCTTGACTATCCTTGAGTTCCACAATAACCCAGTATTCTACCAAGAAGCCCCCTTCCCTGCTTACACTAACTTGAGTGCATTTCTGTTACTCACAACTTCTGTCCGTCAGGATCTTGCCTCAGATCTTCCCTCCAGCAGGGCCTTCACTTCCCCCAAAGAGTTGCCTGCCAATAGAAGATGTGGGACTCACCCTTGTACACTTCCTCTCCTAGAAGTCAAGCAAATCCATCCCACTGAGATGCTGGAGGACCATACTGGCATCTGTTAATGCAGAAGTGTCACTATAAATCCTGTCCTTTTGGCCATACACATCACAAAATGGTGCCCCCATGTCTCTTTGACTCAAATTGTTAGGAGTGTTTGATGCTAAATTGGGGCTTCATGACATTCTACAGCTGCTGAATGGGTGTGGCAGGAACAAACGAGAGGCTGGAACTCCCCGGCCTTGGCTCCTGATGTCTAGTTCAAGAGACTCCAATGAAAACAACTGGTGAAGAAGATGTTGGTGTGAGTTCAAGACCCGTCAATCCTATGGCAACTATGCTGAGATAGGAAAGAAAGACCTTGATCTTTGCTTCGAATGATTAAACCTTCATTACTGCTCGGTGTGACCCCATCGTTCTGCACTCACGTGTATGGTCCTCCCATCCGCCCACTTTGGTTCCAAGAGAGCGAGTGGGCAGAGGGTTGGAACGTATTCCGGAAGCCATGACCCTGCCTGCCTGTTCCTTTTTCTAGGCTGGGCTTCATTACGGTTCTTCAGGAAGACCTTTTCCTTTGTCTCAAACTCTCCATGACTTAACTTCTTCCTGGGTAGCAAACAGGACAATTTACTGGGTTTTCCAAGAATATCAATGGTCAAGAGTCCCCTCCCAGGAGGACTCTGGGGTGCATCTTGGTCTTTTCCCATCCAGGACCTCCCAGGAGCACACATTGCCTATGACATATAGTCTTATTCAAAGTCAAAAGTTAATTTTTGGAAATCAAAGATTACACAATGATGGAAAACATATCAAAATTAAAATTTTCTGTCTCTCTTTTTACTTTGTTGGCTCTATTAACAATCATCTTAACTAATACTTGCTATGAGCCAGGACCCGTTCTAATTAATATCCATATATTAACCATTTAACATTTTAATGATGGCCCTGAGGGGGAAACATGCCACTATTATCACCCTCATTTTACAGATGGGGAGCTGAACACAAGGCTATCAGCTTGGAAAGGGAGGAGCCAGGATTGGAACTCAGCCCACTGGTTCCAGACAATGGCACCAAGGAGCAGACTATAGACTCAGTCTGCCCTAGGGTGATCCAGCCTGGGAGGCAATTCTAACTCAGACAGGTTGGATCACTTGAACAAAGACATGCAGCTGGTGCTTGGTGGAGTCAGGACCACCATCTGTCTAGATGCAAAGATGGTGCTCATGCCACTGGACTAACTTAGCCTCCTGTGAAGGATAGATTGTCTTTTACTGAGTGCTCGGTGCCAGGCACTGAGCTATGTGTTTTCATATATCTTGTCTGCAAATTCCTTGATATCCACATGTTGAAAAGTGTGCTCCATATCCTCTCTCCTTGACCCTAGGCAGATTCCGTGATGCAACCAAGAGTATGGCAGAGTGATGCTCTATGACTTCTGATGCTAGTCATAAAGGTCATGTACCTTCCTCCTGGTTCTCTTGGGAGACGTGCTCTGGGGAAAGTAAAAAGTCTGGCTGCCCTGAATCCGCCTTCCCAGAAAGGCTACCTGGAGGCACTTCAGTCGACAGCTCTAGCTGAGCTCTTGGTGTGTGAGCGAACCAGCTTGGATGTCTAGCCCCACTGAGCCTTTGGATGTCTGCAGCCCCAGCCAATACCTGACTACGACCACATGAGAGGCCTCCAAGGAGGAACCATCCTGGATTCCTGACCTACAAAATTGGGAGCAAAATAGAATGGTTGTTTGAAGCCACTACGTTTTGGGATAATTTGTTACACAGCAGTAGTAACCATAACATCCCATTTGAGAAACATCAGCCCAAATGGGCTATTAAAGAGAAATGAAAAAGTTCCAAAATGTCCAACAGGTTCACACTGCAGCAAACTCAAACTCCCTAATCTCTTCAGGTCACCTGGTTTAGAGGCCAAGGTCATGGGCTCTGGTCCCAGACTGCCCAAGTTGGTGTTCTAACCCCACCATTCAATAGCCAAGTGACCTTGGGCAAGTGCCTTCACCTACCTGAGCTTGTTTCCCCATCTATAAAACAGAGACAACAATAGCCCCTCCTCTCATTCAGTTGGGAGAGGTTCACAGGGCGATGTGGGTGAAGGCCTGGGCACAGCACATGGCACATGTAAGTGCTTATTGGAAGTCAACAGGGAGGGGTGGGCATGGTCAGATGCCAGGGAAGGAAGGCTCAGCAGGGCAGACAAGAAGCAGGAGGGCGGATGAAAATATCACCAAGAAAGAGGAAAGGAGAAACTGAAGGAGAGGAGCGGGTAAGGGCTTTGAAGGTTCTGTGGTATGCAGGGTGCTGGGATGGTGGCTGCCAGGTCAGACAGGAGTTGGGAGCTGGGTACCTGAGAGGCTTCTGTTAATAATACAGGACTTTCCTCTCTTTGGGTTTGCTGTTTATCAAAGTGAGGTCTGTTGTTTTGGAACAAGTTGGTTCACCACTGAATACTCCAATGCTCGGAACAGAGCCTGGTACATAGTAGGTGCTTAATAAGTATTGAATGAATGAATTTGGAGCTGAGAATGATGCTTCAAAAACTGAGAGAAGAAAGAAAAGTAAGAAAGAAAACGAAAAAAGATAACGGAGAATATCTACATTATTCTTTATCTGCATTTGAGCTGTACCAAAAATCTTAGGCAAGAGTTTCCGGCTTTCTGAATCCATGTCCCATGTGCCCTTCAAGTCACAGAGGGGTCTTCTTCCCTCACCCACTTCCTCTCCATCTTTGTTTCCCCACTTGTCTGGGTACCAGAGCCTCAGATCCCCAAGAGGGTTTTATCTTTGCCTGCTCATCTGCTGCATAGCACAGAGGCTGGTGCAGAGTGACTCAGTGGGAGTGTGTGGGAGGAGTAAATGATAAATGAGCTGACTCCAGGGTCTTCATACAGTATAAGGACGGTTTCTTCCTAAGTGTGTGGGCACACAGGGGGTCCATACTACGCGACTGAGTGGGGAGCCCAGGGGCCTATTTAGCTCCTCCAGCCTCGATTTCTTCACCTTTCAATAAGTGCCTTGGATTACATGTTTCAAAGGCAATTTCTTCTGGCTCTAAATTGATTTGTATACATACCTGCACAGGTTAATTTGCTAAATGCCCATGGGCAAAATGTCTTAAGAGCAAAGTTTGAAACTGTACTGCCTCTCACTAGCTATAGGACTTGGGACACTCTTCTCCAGGCCTCAGTTGCCCAATCTGTGAAATGGATCATTTCCACCTCACTGGACTCCTGTGAACACGGATTGAAATAATGAAGGTAAAGGCACTTAGCCTGGACGGCAGTTTTACTGCCGTCATCCAATCTTCGTTTTACCGCCGTCATCTCCTGGTCTTCGTTTCTTCATCTGCACATTGAGAGTAGCGTGTGCGTGTGCGTGTGCGTGTGCGTGTGCGTGTGCGTGTGCGTGTGTGTGTGTGTCAGGGTGGCATGAGTGAAGTTTTCTACCCTTGTGTAGACGATGGGAATAAATTTAGCAAGTGTGTATTCTACGCCACAGTTTATGGAGCCCACGCCCTTCTCAATTTTATTTGCTACAATCCCGGGAGGTCGCCTCCTTATTCCCATTTTCCAGTTGAGCCGCAGAGAGACGGGATTTGGTAAATTTGCAAACCCTTGGTGGAAAGTGCTTGGCACCAAGCGGGGCGCATAGTAAGAGCTCAATGGAACTGATATTTTTATGGTCACAGTAAGGAAACTGAGCACGTCCTCTTCTCAAACCTATTCTTAAGATGTGGGTCTTCCTGGCCCTCCTCGTGTGGTCCCCCAGACACCAGGCGCCCCTGCCTCCCCCTGCACGGGGCTCACAGGGCGGGACGGGGCCGGAGGGGCGGGGCAGGACCGGGGCCCGCGACTGCGCGGCCCTATCAGCGTATCCGGCCGCTGGGGGGCGTGGCCTCCGGGCTCAGAGGCAGCATACAAGAGGCAGTGCGCGGGGCCCCGAGATCCACTGCTTTGCTCCACTGCCCAGGTGTCCTGTGTATTCTTCCACCTTCCCGCTGTGCACACAGTAGCGCTGCCACCACCACCACCAGCGCCGCCGCCGCCGCCGCGAGAGAGACGCCGACGACCTGGTGATTGGAGCCCTGCGGAGGTAAGTGTGACTTGGATTTCTTTACTCTCTGTGAGTTGCAGTCCACTCACTTATCTCTGAGGAGCTGAAGTAATCAGAGCAAATGCCGGCTCTTAGGATTTACTGTGGGCACCAAGGTGAGCGCGCCTACTGCATCGCAGAGCTGGGCTTAGCTGCATGCAGTTTCACAGAGGGAGAAACTGAAGCTCGCCGAGGGCAAGTCAGTCGCTCAAGACCGCAGCCAGGAAGGCAGGGAGCCGGCATTCAAAGCCCGTCTGAATTGCAGATCCACGTTCCTGGAGACCGTGTGCCCTTGCCTTCCTTGTGCAATTTGCTAGCATCTGTTGCCTTCCTGTGTACACAGCGGGCATCAATAAATGGAAAGCTGTTGGTGTGAATGTGACAGGAGTTTGAATGTGTCTACCCACGTGTGGATGGCCAGGTGTGAGACAGCCTGTGCATTCTGCTTGCAGTTGATAGGACCATGCCCCTTTATGTTTCATTTTCAACGAAACTGCAAGGTAGCCTACATCTTCCCATATTTTAATGAAGACAGTGGGGGTTAGAGAGGTGAAGAGAGTTGTCCAGGCAGAGCTGGGGCTGGAACCCAGGTCTGCCTCTGCAGCTCCAGATGGCTGTGGATGTATGTGTCCAGGTATGGGGCATGTTACTGTTCCTGAAGGTTCAGAAACATGTTCCTGGGCACCGTCAGCCAGAGTGGGCATCTGTATAAACTCCTTGTGTGGGAAGAATTGTGCTGGGAGCTGAGGGCTTGGTTCTGCAGTCCTGAGTAGATAGGCTTCCCTAGATGGACAGAACCGGGGCTTCCCTAGATGGACAGTCCCTCATGTGGTGCAGACCGAGGGCTGGGTTGGCGGACAAGCCAGAAAGGGCTTAGCTGATGCCTGCTTATCGAAGTCTAACTTGAATTGGGTGTCTTTTAGCCAAAAGATAAGTTGACGCTCTGGTGGTGAGAAGCAGCTGGGGGCCTGTGCAAATGCCTAGCTTGCTTTGCACCAAGAGTGAGTTTGGTGAGTTTCCATTTTGAGCATTTGGACCCCTCGTTCCGGCAAAATAGGGTGAGCCTACCTTTCCCATCTGGATCAGGTCATCTAGAATCTAGAGTCTGACAAGTGAGAGACTAGGGTCCTGCAGAACAAGAAGAGGGACAGACTCTCTTCCCCAGATAGACTGAGAGGGGACTTCCCAGGGCTCTTTATGTTTTGTGCACCTGATTTTCTGCTTCTGCCTCTGATCTGGCTGTGTCCACATCAGGGAGGAGCAGAAGGTGTGGGAGCTGTATTGCTGGTGTGGCCGATATGAGGCCCTGTGCTATGCACCTTGCTTGCATTATCATCCCTGCAACACACCCAGGCAGCAGGCCTCTTGATCCCCATTTCACAGATGAGAAAATCAAGGCTCAAAGAGGTGAAGTGTGTGCCCAAGGTCCCCTAACTGGTATGCTCTGCTGTCAGCCCTAGGCCTGTCTGGCTGTAGACTCTACACTCTTAACCACTAGGTCCTGGCTCCTTAGACAGTTTTAAGACAGTTTTCAGCCCAACCACTAACTCTACCTCTGGGCCTGATCTTCACACAGGTGTAGTTTTGTCTGAGAGGGGCTCCAGGTAAAACACCTGTCAGCAGAGTTGAGCCCAAGCCCCAAGTCTCCAACAATGCTCCATGGGGAGGAGAATGAAAAGAGTCATTTTTGATTCTTATAGAGTCTCTTAAGATATAGGGATAGGAATGGCGATGATACCATTTATAATCATACGAGCTGCTGATATTTATCCAGCATTTACTATGGACCAGCCCTGCCCAGTGGATGATCTCACTGACTTCTTTATGAGGTGAGCACTGGCCCGTCCTTTTTACAAGGAGGAAATTGAGACTTGGAGTGATTAAAGCATGTACCCAGCATGACACAGCCAGGGCAGGGGGAGCTGCCATTCTGGCTGGGCCCTGCCCCAGATTCTGGAAGAAGGTGCTCATCTAATGGCAAGCCTCATGACTGTCACAGCAGAACTTGCTGCAAGTCAAGGCTTCTCATACCACATGAGATCTAGGTGCCTGGCCTGCGTTAGGGGTAGGCCTAGAGAGTGGATGCACTGACATGGGGGCTTGGGCTCCCTTTGCCAACAGGCACTGGTATCAGTGCAGAGAGCCCTGCCTCGGTACCCAGGTCAGTACTGGCTCCCAAAGTCCTGCTTCTGGGCTGGAGAGGAGAGCTAGGTGGTGGGGGAGGGCCTGGAACCTCCGCAGAAGAGCATGAGGCCTCTGAGAGCCCCACATTTTGTCTCTCCCTCAAAGACCCAGAAAAGTTATCTGGGCTTCAGTCAGTTTCATTTGAAACTTTTAAAGGCAGGACCCCCAACACTGACCTCTTTGGCCTTGAGGGAGCTGAAACATTTCTTTCCTCTGTCACCAGTGTAATTTACTATGTATGGGAGGTGCCTCTGTGTCTGCTTGCTCCCAACCTAGGAGGCTTTTTTTTTTTTTTTTTTTTTTTTTGCAAACTCACTGGTTTTTGATCAGTCCCAGATGTGCAAACCCAGCATCATTCAAAGGGGCTGATGGCTTGTCAAGAAAGGAAATTACAACACAAGCATCATTTCATTTCAGCTTCAGTTCATTGTGCTGAATAGATTCTTAGACCTTCATAGAGTGGGGATCCGGAACCCCTCTTAAAATCCTAAAGGGAGCACACTCTGTTCTGGGACCGGGCAGATCTAGATGGTGGTTGATAGGGCCAGCCATCATGCCTTTTTTTCTTTTCTTATTTCCTTTATAAAAAAAAAAAAAAAGGTAAAAAGCTTTCATTGTGGCAAAATATGCATAAACATAAGAGTTACCATTTTAACACCATTTTAAAGTACACAGGTCAGTGGCATTTAGTGCATTCACATTGTTGTCCAAACATCAGCACTCTCTAATTCCAGAGCATTTTTATTATCCCGAAAGGAGAACCCATCACCATGATTTAGCAGTCACTCCCCTTTCTCTCCTCCTTAGCCTCTGGCAACTACTAATCTACCTTCTGTCTCTATAGATTTACTATTCTGGTTATTTCATATAAATTGAATCATACCGTATATGGCCTTTTGTGTCTGTCTTCTTTGGCTTAGCATGTTTTCAGGGTCCATCCCTGTTATAACTTGTATCTGTGCTTCATTCTTTTTATGGCTGAGTCATATTCCACCGTACAGTTAGACCACATTTCATTTACCCATTTTTCCAATGGTAGAAATTTGTGATGTTTCTGCATTTTGGCTATTGTGAATAATGCTGCTATTAACATTTGTGTGCACGTTTTTGTTTAAACACCTGTTTTCAATTGTTTTGAGTCTACACCCAGGAGTGGAATTGCCAGGTCACATGGTAACTTTATGTTTAACTTATTGAGGAACTGTGTTCTCTTTTCTTGACTTCCTTCTTAAAGAAGCATCAACTCATGTCATCTCGTTCCTGAATGGGTCAAGGCCCTCTGGCGTGGGTGCAGGGATATTTGGCATTCGAGTGTTTTGGGGAGATACGGACATTCTTCCCAGTGTCACAGCAGCAACTGGCAGAGCATCCTGTATGAGATGTTGCCCCGGGGGGAACCCTGCTCTATACTCCGGGCTGTGGAATTGTGGGCACTCACAGCCAGACACCCCCTCGTCAGGGCTGTCAGGACAGTTTCTTGTGGTTCAGCCCAAGGGAGATATATCTTCTTTGATTGTCTCAAGTGCTGCATCAGCTTAGGCAGAAACCACAGATTTAGCGAAAAAGAAGAGGATTACACAACTTCTGGACCATCATTTAAAAAACATTATAAATTTTGAAATCCCACATGTTCAACCCAGATTTCTAGATGTGTCCTATTGTGAGTGCAGAATGGTAATATCCTAGCAGGAAAAGAATTGAGCTTCAATTTTGCTTCCAGTCAAGTGGTCCTGGAATTGGCCCCACCCCAAAGTTCTTTTGGATTGGAAAAAACCCACCTGGATCTCTCTAGGAGTGGGAGCTGGCATCCAGCTGGCATTGCTGAGACTGACTTGATAAGAGCCTGAGAGACTGTTCACGTGCAATGGCCAGGACCTGGGAAGGTGCCTGGCACCCTTGGAGAAAGGCAAGAAGTTTTCTGTGGCTGGAGTTTAAGGGTCAGGTTCAAGGCAGCAAGTGTCTGCCCTGTGGGTGGGGTGACATGTACTGTTTGGATTCCCCGCTGTGGGCTGTGGGGCATAGTAATGTAACAGGGTGGCATTTTCACTTGAGAACAGATCATTATGGAGTGAGCAATGTTCCCCAAAGCGTGGGAACCCCATCTCTACTGGTCCCCAAGGTGACTGAGTGAGCGCACGGACCCAGCCGCAAAGCCCGCCAGTCCAGGAGCTGTTCTTTCAACTCTCTGGCTAGTCTTCCTCCTGCTTATGACAAGGCGAACATCTCAGGTGGTGCCTTCTGTCCCTAATGTCCACCCTCACCCCCATCTCCCTTTACAACAAAGAGAGCACGCTCTACGACAAAGCCTCTGGCTGGTATCAGCTGGGAGGTCCTCACTTTGTTTTGTTTTCCTGGTATTTGATTTTACTCCTGCTTCTCTTCAAGGCAGACTTGATCAGATTCTTTGCAAATGGTGGTGATAGAAAGTTACCTTTGATAAGTAAATTTGTTTGAACCCTCAAAGCAGGCTGACTTGAATAAATATACAAAATAGGTACAGGTAGACGATAGGAAGATGGACAAGCTTGGCAAGGAGTATGCCAAACGCTGGAGTCTGGGAAACAACACTGGATTGAGGTGGGACGTGAGGAGATTCAAGAGGCCGCTATAATCTGGAGGAGTGGTTCTCAAAGTGGGGTCCCACTCAAAGTTGGGAGGACTACAGCAGCGCTTGGGAACTCGATAGAAATGCAGATTCTCAGGGCCTGCCCCAGACCTCCTGAGTCAGAACCTCTAGGGTTTGGGCAAGCAATCTGTGTTTTAAGGAGGCTTCCAGCACTTTCTGGTGCAGGCTCAAACGTGAGACCCACTGCCCT